GGCTGTACATCAACAGCGGTCTCGAAAACGGGCTAGATCACTACACTTCGCCATCAAACCACCCACAGCTACCGCCGACGACATTGCTACAATCTCGAACGATCGTTATGCTCCAATCTGGTGATGATGATGACAACGAATGAACATCATCGCATCGACGATCCGACGGCTTACATCGTAGAGTGAGCACGGATGGTGGCAGTGATCTCCATCAAGGCGTGGCACATCATCCTCTGCGTTTCATCAGACGCCGCGTAGTGCTCTTTTTAAACTGCAACTTCCTGCTCCAGGATGTCGCATTGCCTCGTCAAAACGCTGCATTGTCTCTTGCTAGAGGACTCCATCGTCGAGGACATCAGCGCACCGTGCCAATCCATGACGTCGACGATGGACTCCAGCGCCTGCTGACGCGTATTCTTCCGTTTCATTCCTCGGGCCCCGCTGCCTACATTGCTGTCGGACTCCCTCGGCGAACAACGTTCTTCAGCCCACCCATCACCGGCCCCCTCACTACCGACAGACTCCCCACCGCCCCCTCCTCGTCTCGGCAGCTGCACGCCGTCCGAATTACCTGTGTCTGCGATGTTGGGAGGGAAATGGTGTGGTTTCCCAGCATGCCTCCATGGATCTCGTTGTAGAGAGCTCTCTCCATCCGAAACATGAAATTGTGGTCCTTCCTCTCTTCATTTGACAGCCTGAAGAAATCTGCCTCGCCGCTGGCATTCTGGAACCTCTGTACCTTCTTGTAGTTCTGGAATAGATTGTCCCACTTCTTCATGCACTCATCGGCGTCTCTAGGACTACCCGCGTTTGCCATCCGTTTCGCGATGTCCTCCCACTTCCATTCTTTCGTTCGCACCCGACCGTAGTTGTGTCCAAGGCCGGCAAGGTGCATGTCCTGCTCCCGCTTGCAGCGCACCAGGAGCAGTTGATCGTCTAGAGACCAATACGTCGCTGATTTCTCGCCATCGTCGTCGTCGGCTACTCTGCTGCCACGCCCTGCGGATCGACCGCGACCACCACCTCTGCCGCGTCCTCTCCCCCTCCCACCCGCCTTCCCCAAAGGCCGAATTGGCGCATCGCCGTCGTCGTCAACAGCTTCGACGTCCTCCCTAAATCCATCGTCGGCATCATCGCCAGCACCGCCATTCTCGTCGACACCATCGTTGTGTGCCCTCATGTTCGACACTCCCTCTGTTATGTTCTCCACTGTAGGCTGCGGACGCACCACCGGTCTGCAAGCGGGATCGCCTCTGAATTCATCCTCGGGCCTAGGTGTAGGGTTGGACATATTTGACCGCCCAAAGCTGTTGCGTGCGGGCGCTGCCGCGACTTCGCTGATGCGTGCGGCTGCTGCCGCTACCCCGCTGCGTGTGGGCAATGTCTTTGGTAGTGGATCGATGGACGGTGCACTCGGTCCACGATGGCGCGCTGTCGATGACGGCCTGACACATGCAGTAAGGGAAGCACCGCCACGAAGTGTCGACTGTTCCGTATGCCCGCGTCGTGGACGTTGCAGGTAACGTGGCGAAGGTTGCTCTTCAATGATGAATGTGCGGCTAGCCTCTCTCGCGCTGCCCGACGACAACCCGAACCTCAGATCAACTTTTTCGTCGTCGTCGTGGTCCAAGCCTGCTTCCAGGAGGGATGTGAACTCGCCGCCTTCCTTGCTGGCCGACCCTCCTGCTATCAGCGTCTGCGAAAACAACAACTGGGTCGATCCGCTGGCCAGAGGCAACATCCCTAGTTCCTCCGCCTCCACCTCCTCGTCCGATGGGGGCAGCGGCGTCTCCCAGGACTGCAGATGGCTGTACGACGACGGATCGTACTGTCGTCGGGGTGCCGCCGTCGAAGGGAGACTTCCGCCCTGCCCTGCCACTTGTGGCGCGCCTGCCTGCATGTTCGCCATCGGCCGGTCCGTGCGTGGCCTTCTCGTTGACGCCCTCCGCTTGCGACGTGTGTTCCAAGGCCGGCACGACAAACAGACGTGGAGGAAGACGACAAACAGAAAGACGACGACGACCAGCACCAGCAGAGGTAATCTACGCAGCACGTCTGCCATCTAACTCGCCTTCGGGTGCACCACGCAAGCACACTACTGCGCAACTGCCCTCTGGCATGTCCACAAATGACGCACTGGAGGGACCTTCATATCACGACAAACGCCACAGAACACAACAGAGGTGGACGCCATGAATTCGAAAGTCGACCGTTGGGGCCCGCGCACTGCCCGACTGCGCGTACGAGTGTCGTCCTGCGAGCGTCGTCATCCTCCTCCGCTGCGAGCTACAAATGCAACGGTTGACTACAGAAGCCCGCCTACCCTCAGTTCCCCCCCCCCCGCCCCACCGTGGTGCACCTCCCCCCGCCAACGGCTACCGTTGGTGGCCGTTGGCCCCGTCGGCCCGCCGAATACCTCCGATGTCCGACCTCTGGACCGACGGTCCGGTTCTGCACCAACACTTCCGAGAAGACGGTGTAGTGCGTGCGACGCCATGACTCCGTGAAACGCGCGAATCCTAAAATTTTCAGAAGGTCGGGGGCTACTGGAAATTTTAGGACGATAATGGCTGGGGAATCCTAAATCTTTCAGGACTGGTCCTAACGCCGTTTTTCACATTTTCGATCTCGAAAATGGATTTAGGATTGCGTGCCACCAAGACGCAATCCTCAAAACAGGAACTTTTAGGAGTGTCTAACGAGACCCTTATTCTCCATGCCAAGACAAAAAGGGAAATTTTCGAAATGCCCCTGAAGTTTGCATTTATTTGCTTTTTGCCCCTCCGACGGCCGACTTACCCTGATTTGCCCCTGGGGCCTCTGAACTTTCGTGCAGGCCCCTGTCAGTGAGGGGCACACCTTTTCGGAATGCCCCTACCAGACCGCCGGTCCCATTTCCCGTGGTGGCTGTTCTATTTGCCCTTTCGCGATGGATGCATCTTCCCCAGATGCCCTCCAGAGGGGAGGCCCTAAGAATTTGAATTCAAACTCCTTGCTTTTCCAGGCCGCCGCCTCGCCATAAAACAGCACTCCACTCTACGTTCTGTCCACTGCTCCAACGCACCGTGGAGTTCATTCTTCTGCTACTGCGACCTGCCGCCGCCTTGGATGTCCTCGGAGTGCGTTGCCGAAGGTAAGTGTTCCTCCCCCAAGTCCCCTTCTTCCACGCCTGTGTGTGTGTGTGTGTGTGTGTGTGTGTGTGTGTATGTATGTCTGGCACGATTGTCACTGTCACAACCCCATTCAGCACGGTCATGGGGGGATGAAAATCGCCCATCTCTGTTGCTCGTGCCTTGCTGCACTGCTCAGTGCTCACCTTTGTCGCTCTCGGCACGTGTACACGTGTACACTTGTGCATGCATGCACAAAGTCGTGTCATTGGTTGCTTGCTTATCCTGCCTCCCACACATACCAGTCAGGTACAGACACTCCCTATGCATGTTGCTCCTTGATCCACTTCAAAGTCTCGGAAATATCAATCTCATGCAACTTGCGAGTCAATGTAGTGTCTCTTGGTAACTGGTCCCTTCTAAGTCCCCTCACAACATGCATATGGAGTGTTTGTGCCTGACTGGTGTGTGTGGGAGGCAGTGAATCACGAAGGGCTGCTACCGTAACGTGTGTTCTTCTCATTTTTGGAAACATAACGCATGGAGGAATGTGACCCAAGTGAGGGCATACTCACACTAGCTGTTGCATACCGTATAGGTGCAGACCAGAACAAGAACCGACCTTTCAATACAAAGTATAAGATAGCACAGCGGAAGACTTAGATA